CCTCTGTGCTACTACTGGGGGCCACCTGTCTGGGGCCCCCAGACCTCATACCTCAGGGGAGCAGACATTCTGTCTAAGCTCACAGAGGGTGGGAGACAGGCTCACTGACCCCAAGGGTCAGACATAGACACCTGTGGCTGCCTCCCACCTCAGTACTACAGACAACCTTCTAGGCCCTAACGGAGCACCTGCTTTCCTCACTGCTCCCACAGCCCTGTTCCTCGATCGCCTGATGAAACGGAGACAGGAAAGTGGCTACCTCATTGAAGAGATTGGCGACGTGCTGTTGGCCAGGGTGAGAATGCCCTGCCCAGTCCCTCGTCCCAGCTAGGGGTCTGGTCCCCAGGCCTGTCCTACTTTAGACTCCCATCCCTGCTTGAGATCCTATTTTGCCCATCCCCCCTGAGACCTTCCCTGGCCTGAATCTCGCTGTAGTTTGATGGTGCCGAGGGCTCCTGGTTCCAGAAAATCTCCTCCCGCTTCTGCAGCCGCCAGTCATTTGCCTTAGAGCAGCTCAAGGCCAAACAGCGCAAGGAGCCCCGATTCTGTACCTTCGTGCAGGTGAAGTGGGACCTGGACTCCAGGTCCCAGGGGAGGATGGGGCTGTTGTCCCAACCCTGGGATGAGCCAAACCACAGGCCACCCAGCGCTGATTCCCCACAGGATGCTGAGAGCCGCCCACGGTGCCGCCGCCTGCAACTGAAGGACATGATCCCCACCGAGATGCAGCGGCTGACCAAGTACCCCCTGCTCCTGCAGAGCATCGGGCAGAACACAGGTGCCAGGGGGCCCACGCCTCTGGGTCCTAACTTCCCTTCTCCAGCAGTGGCTGCTGAGCCGGGGGCTTCCAGGGTTGGGGTTCACTGCAGCCAGTCTGTCCCTTGCCCACAGAAGAGCCTACGGAACGAGAGAAAGTGGAGCTGGCAGCTGAGTGCTGCCGGGAGATTCTGCACCATGTCAACCAAGCTGTGCGTGACATGGAGGACTTGCTGGTGAGCCCTGGCCTGGCCCCAGCAAGAATGGGGTGTGGTATATGTGTGGGGGCTGGGACTACCTTCACTTTGTCCAAAGGTCAGACCAGACTGTCCCTCATGACTCGCCCTCGGGTCCATGGAGGTCAGGCCTGGCTCAGCTTGTCCCTCATTTTTGGCCTTGCCTCTCAGCTCCTTGGGGTCACTGAGGGTCAGCCCCAGAACTTATCCCCATTTCATTCTTCATTTCTGCCTCAGAGGCTCAAAGATTACCAGCGGCGCCTGGACTTGTCCCACCTGCGGCAGAGCAGCGACCCCATGCTGAGCGAGTTCAAGGTGGGCACTGCCTGTCTGCCCCTCCCCGTGGCTCAGCCAGGGCTGCTGCCCCGGGGATACTCTGACACACAGCCCACCCTGCCCGTCTGTTCATGTACCCAGTGCGCCTCTGCCCCCACCTCATTTCCAACCAGGCACCTGTGTCGACCCCTGCGCTTGACCCTGTGGCTATCCTAGTGGCCACTCTCCTCTCCCCTCCCCAATTTCCCTAACCAACCTTCACTCTCTCTCCTGCCCCAAGAACCTGGACATCACCAAGAAGAAGCTGGTGCACGAGGGTCCATTGACGTGGCGGGTGACCAAGGACAAAGCTGTGGGTGAGTGCCAGGTGGCAGTGGGGTGGGGTTAGTAAACAGGGTGGAGGGGTCGGGGTGAGCATCTGCTGGACTCGCCCCACAGAGGTCCATGTGCTGCTGCTGGACGACCTACTACTACTGCTCCAGCGCCAGGACGAGAGGCTGCTGCTCAAGTCGCACAGCCGGACGCTCACGCCCACGCCTGACGGCAAGACCATGCTGCGGCCTGTGCTGCGGCTCACCTCCGCCATGACCCGCGAGGTGGCCACCGGTGAGTGCAGCAGTGGTGTATGCTCAGGGCTGGTCCCCATGGGGTGGGCCATGGACCCTCTAGAGGGCCAGGGAGACCACTCTGATCTTTGTAGCGGTCAAGAAGAGGCCTGCTGGGGCCCAGTGGCAGAGCACTTGCCTAGCACATGTGAGGCACTGGTTTCACTCCTTAGCACCACATAAATAAATAAAAAGGTATTGGCTGGCTGAGGCAGAGATAAGCAGGCCAGGTAGGGGCATATTAAAATAGAGGGGAATTGCCCCCAGTGCCTGGCCTGCCCTGATCGGTATTTTTTTTTCCCCTGGTACTAGAGATTAAACCCAGGGGCACTTTGCCACTGAGTCACAAAATACTTTTTATTTAGAGACAGGGTCTCACTAAGTTGCTTAGGGCCTCATGAAGTTGCTGAAGCTGGCCTTGGACTTACAGTTCTCCTGCTTTAGCCTCCTGAGTTGCTGGGATCGCAGGCGTGTACGCTCACTCTGATCAGCATTTTGACAAGACACTGTGGCTGACTGCATGGGAATTGTAGGGAGCCCAGGGAGGAGGAATTTGTAAATATACTGCTAAGAAGTTGCACTGGGGTCCTGGACGGTGGGAGTGGCAGGATTGTGGGGTGGCTGGAGAGCTTCTGTAGGCGGAGTGGCCAGGGACCGGCCACAGCATCAGATCAGGGGCTAGGGACAGTGGACAGCGAAGGGATAGGGTGGGGGTAGCCCTGGGTATCTGCAGGACAGTGAGGGTGCATTGCAGCACAGGGCTTCCCAGCCTCCAACCTGTGCTGAGGGAGGGGTGCACACGGGGACCCTGGCCCTGAGCACTGTCTCCTATCTCTTCCCGCCCCCTACAGATCACAAAGCCTTCTACGTCATTTTTACCTGGGACCAAGAGGCCCAAATATATGAGCTGGTGGCACAGACCGTGTCAGAGCGGAAGAAGTGAGAGGGGGGCCTCTGGGTTCAGTGTGGGAATGGGGGGCATCGCACAGGGTCTAGGGGCACTGACTGTCCTGGACTTTGGCCTGTCTCCCCAGCTGGTGTGCCCTCATTACTGAGACTGCTGGATCCCTGAAGGTCCCCGCCCCTGCCTCCCGCCCTAAACCCCGACCCAGCCCAAGCAGGTGAGGAGGGCCATAGAGGGAGCTGGAGGGACAGAATGGCTTCCCTTGCAGCCCCAGAACCCAGGCCCAAGCCCTGACTCAGCGAGTGTGAGCATGAGCGTTCGAGTGTGCATATGTGTGTACCAGTCCTGCCACGACCCGGCTATGTCCTGTTTCCAGGCCTCTCTGTCTCCTGGCCTCGACCTCTCTCTCTGTCTCCATCTCCAGACCTCCCCATCTTCAGCTTTCTGTTCCCTGCCCCTGCTGCCCCCCAGGAACAGGGGTGTGGGGTCACACAGTACTTCCTCCCCACAGCATCCGGGAACCCCTGCTCAGCAGCTCTGAGAATGGCAACTGCAGCCGAGAGATGCCTCCAGCTGACGGTGAGTCCGGGGGCTTCATGGGTAATGGGAGGTGTCCAGGGGAGGCTGACCGGGTCTGACACCCTCCCTTCCCCCATCCAGCCCGGACTGAGAGAATCTTCAGTGACCTCCTGCCCTTCTGCCGACCAGGCCCTGAGGGCCAGCTTGCTGCCACAGCCCTTCAGAAAGGTAGCCCAGCCCTGCCCTTTCCAGGGTGGCCTCCAGCCAGCCGAATAGCACCTCTGTTGGAACTAGAAAAAGTCTTCCCCCTTTCAGATTTCTTCCATGTCCAGCAGCTAGAAAACAAAAGCACCAACCCACCCAACCTGCACCACCATCCTGGGTGGCCCCCTCGTCCTCCTGAGGCCACCATCCTCACTTGACCCTGAATTCAGCTGCTCCCTCCCCAGCGCCCTCCTACCCCATTCCAGCCCCAACCTCCAGCCTCACCTCTGTTCCCTCTTGAATCTCCAGCCCCATCGGTTTAGCCCAGCAGGCCCTTGGCCTGTGCCCGCCCCACCCACCTGAGGCCCAGCCCAGAGCCCCTGCCCCTCATGACTCTGTCCCCTGTGCCCCCACACCCCGGCCCCGCTCCAGTGCTGTCCCTGAAGCAGCTCCTGTTTCCTGCGGAGGAAGACAACGGGGCTGGGCCTCCTCGGAACGGGGATGAGGTGCCAGGTGGCAGCCCTCTGGGCCCAGCGCAGACCCAGGAAATTCAAGAGAACCTGCTCAGCCTGGAAGAGGCCATAAAGCAGCTCGAGGTACGTCGGGTGAGGGGGAACCTGGGTGCGCTCGGGAAGGAAGGGCACCCCTTCACCGACGACCCTTCTTCAGGAATTGGAGGAGGAACTGTGCCGCCTGCGACCTCTCCTGTCTCAGCTCGGGGGGCATACTGTCCCCCAGCCTGGCTGCACCTGAGGCCCCTGCCCAGGCAGGTGAGCCGGGGAGCCGGGAGCCGGGGTGCTACCCTGAGAGGGGCTAGAGCGGCATGGGGTCCCTGCAGCCCTGGTGTCTCCTCTCCCTTCCCTGCGCCTTCGCCTCCCACCCCCCTCCATCTCCCTGCTTCCCCCAGTTTACTTCTCTGTTTGTTCAGCCCTTTTTCTCTCCTTTGCTTTTGTCCATCTCGCGCTGTCTCCCTCCATTCTCTCCCTATTTCCCTTCTCCTCCAACCCCCAGGCCTTTCGCAAGAAGGAGAGAATGGGGGAGAGGACGTGAGGGGGCCCACCCCACAGCTGCTGCAGCGTCTCACACCCCCAAGGGCCTGAGGAGAGGGAGCGGGCTGCCAGCCATGCCTGGGAGGGGCCCGGCTGGGGTCCCTGTCTCCCCACCGGCCTCGGCCTTCTCTCCCTCCTGCCTTGTCGGGGGACTCAGGGCTTCATTCTGGGGGCACCACCATGACCCCCACCACTTCCCAGGCCATCTCAGTATTGCCTGTGGGGGCCACCCCCCCATTCCCCACCCCTAAGTGCCTTTGCTCTGTTTTTATATCCTGAATTGGAGGTTTATTTTTTAATATATATTATCTAAGGAGACAGCTGTGCGTGTGAGGGGCGGGCAGAGCCCAGTGTGGCAGTGTCTGGGCCCCTCCGTGACTGCCGACCTCGACTTCTGGGTCTGACCCACCACATCGCCCACTGTGGCTCTTGCTGCCCTTGAGTCGTTCATTCAGTCCTTCTCATTAACAATTCACACACACACACACACACACACACACACACACACGATATGAGGGAGGCCCCAGCCCCCAGTCATCCAGAATGCTGGGCACCCCACATCTCCCTCTGTTCTTTTATTTTTGTAGTAAACTCTGTAGGTGGCTGTGGAGGTCATGGGGAGCTGGTGGGGAGGGGGCCCCTCCTGGGTAGGGGCTGGGGGCGGGGTTATTGCTCTGAGCTCCCTGTCCCCAGGGGGGCCTGTATGAGGGTATCAGGATGGGGGCCGGCACAGGGGGTTGGAGACACGGCCACACAAACACACAGGTCACAGCACAGGGGTGGGCAGGGGAGGCTGGGCGCCGTATTGCACTTTGGGAGTGGGGCCAGGCGGGGACCCCCCTCAAACTGGAGCCTGGGGAGGAGGCTGGAGGCCATTTTCTTCCCTCCCCCTCCATGGAGGGGAAGGCGAGACCCCCACTCTGGGGTTGGGGAGGGAGACTGGGCTCTGGGAGGGTGCCGGGGCCTGGTCCTAGGCCTTGGCTGACATCGAGGGCAGACCAGATGGCAGAGGCTTCAGGGTTGGCTGTCCTGGTCCCCACCTCGGCAGAATCCATCACCCCACGCTGGCTCAGCTGCCGGTCCCCCCTTTGCCTGCCTTGGCTTTGGGAGGCACCTGGAGGCCCTCATCGCCCTCGCTGTCAGAGCTGCAGCCGCTGACATCAGTAATCTCCAGTTCTGAGTCACTGTCTTCCTTTCTGCCCAGCGTGGTCTCTGGACCCCCCGCTCCTGGCAGTGCCAGGCGAGGGGCTGCCACCAGGCCTGAGGGGCGTTCAGGACCCGGGCCCTCCCCAGTCGCAGCCAGCAGGGGTGCAGCCGTGGGGCCTCCCCCTGCTCCTGTGGAAGGCAGGTGGCCCAGGGAACTGGCCAGGGAGTTGGGGTAGAAGTGTGGGGGATAGAGAGAAGGGGAGAGCTTGGGGAAGGGGCCTGTGAGGTATGGGTTAAAGTTCCAGGGGTACTCAGGGAAGGCGCGGCCGTAGGGACCCAGCAGGCCGGGGGGCTTGGAATAGCCAGTGGTACCTGGGGGGCACAGGGGATGGGTCAGGCTGGGCCACTCCCCCTGGGGGCGGCCTGCATGGGAGTTGGTAAAGGGTGCCACTTCCCGCCACATCCATCCCGTTCTCCCCTTTGTCCTCCCACTTGGCTCCACAGGGCTTCCTCCCTCTCCACCTCCTCCCTTCTCGCACTGTCTCCCATCCCTTTAGTACCCCTGAAGCCCTTCTCCCACCTTGTCCTCTATCTCGTCACCGCCTCCCCCGCCTCCTCCCTCCAGCCCCTCTCCTGGTCTTTGCTCCTCTTCTCTCAAACATGCGCAGATCTTCCCCCAGGACCCCGAGGCTCTTACCAGAGCCCAGGAACGGGAAAGGGCTGTCCAGCCGCAGTTTGTCCGTCTCTGGGGTAAACAGGGGTGTCCGAGCCCCCGGCTCTCCCAGGCGTGGGGCAGAGAACAGGGTCTGCAGGGCCTGGAGGGGGAGGTGGCACCACTCAGACTGTCCCCTCCCAGGGGTTTCATGGCAGAGGGGGGCACCAGACATCCCCATTCCAGTTCTGGGATCCCATTATCCAAACTCACCTCTGGGGTGAGGGGAGGAGCATCTGGCCCAGGGCCCCCTGCAAAGGGACCAGGGGTCAACAAGAGTGGGGAGCCAGTGGCAGCAGCTGCTACATCCAGCAGTGGGTAATTGACTAGCACGACTTTGCTGAAGTTGAACTTGTAGGTGAACCTCTTGCCTTTGGTCTTGTGGAGGATGCGCTTGTTGTAGTAGTAACTGTGGGGAGAGGAGGGGGCCTTTAGGGCTTCCTAGCACAGGCTCTGTGCCCGCAGAGTGGGGAAACTGAGGCTCACAGAAGTCCCCTAACCAAGGTCATGGGGCAAGGAAGGGTGAGGCAGAGCTGGGATCCTGTCCTGCATGGCTCCAGGGTCCAGAGCTGGGGGTCCTTGCTGCCCTTCTACTCACAAAGAATTTTGGGATCCAACAGGATTTGGCCCCAGGATGTGAAGGGAAAGCCCCCAGGGGGTGGGGACCTGAGGGAAAGTGAGGGGAGAAGCTGGTGAGATAGGAATCAGGCCCACAGCCCCTCCTCACCGCAGGGCCCGGCTCAGCTTGTCATAATTCATGTGGGGTTTGCACTTGCGGATGCCCCAGAGCCGGGCCACTTCATCAGGGTCCTTGATGACGAACTCCCCGTAGTCCCCCTGCCAGGCGATGACACCCTGGTACTCCTCCTTCTGCAGCAGCTCCAGGATAAAGTGCCACAGCTGGATCTGCCTCGAGCCAGGGGATGACTCCGGCTTGTAGGCCCAATCCGGGAAGGCAAACCCTGGAGACGGGAGGCAGGGAGTGGCCTGGATGGGGATGCCAAGTCAGAAGCTCCAGGCTGAACTGAGCAACCAGAGAGGCCACCAGTGCTGCTCTGACGCCAAAGGAACAGCCACCCAGCCTCAGGCACCTCCAGACCTGCCCCGCTGGTGTGTCCAGTCCCCCAGCTGCCTAAAGGGGGAGGGCCCTGAGTGGTCCTCCCAGCCTGCTCCTCTACCTGGGCACAGCTACCCAGGTTCAGCAGGGGAAGGGGTGAGGATGTGAGGGAACCATTTCCTGCCTCGTGATCAGGGAGGTGTAGCGGGGAAGGACATCTTCCACAGTGGTAGCCATTCTCCCCACTGCCCCAGGAGGCCTCTGGCATCTCGGGCACCCTGAAACGCACCCAGCTCTTGCTGTCTTCTGTAGCCTAGTCCCTTGCCCTCTGCTCCTCCCCCACTCCCTGAGGCTCCCGGCACACTCTGGCTAAGCCTTGGCACATCTGTCTCTGCACCTACCTGTGTGTGTGTACTCTTCATGTCCCCACCCACCCACTGTGTCCATGCTCAGGTCTTGCATGTCCACTTGTGTGATCTTGTGTGCCCGTGTGTTCCCGCACTTGCAGCATATCGCATACACTACACCAGGGAAGGTGGACACGCCAGTGTGCCACACTCCTGCCGAGGACCACCCATGCAGGCACACCAGACACGGCTACCCGAGACAAGGCTGCGTCATGCCAACAACCCAGCACTGCACACCCCACCTGTCACAACACAGTTACACATCTCAGGTGCCTCAGAACTGGGACCCCTTGAACAACTGTGTTACATAGGAACCCAAAGGCCCCAATGACAAAAGCAGTGATGGAGATGGATCAAGACATCCGGGGCCTCAGATGCACAGCCTGACAGGTGGACACAGCCACACTGCGTAGCAGAGCAGCCTCCAAACCCACACCCACAGGACCCACCTGTCAGCACCTGCCACAGCTCACTCGGAGCCACGGGTCTCACACTCAGGGGTTGGGTCCCATTCCACATACACCCAGAAACTGGGTGCAAAGAGAGGTTCTTGCCCACCCCTAAATCTCACCTCCCAACCAGAAGGTCCTAAGCCCTGAGTCCAGCTTCTGTGCCAACTCCTATGCCGTATTCTCTGTCCCTTTCCTCTCTGCTCAGAGACCCCAGACCCAGGAGAGGAGGAGCAGGCTGGGGAGGGAGGGCAATGGCCTGTGGGTTGGGGCAGGAACCTGCAAACTGCGAGACCCAGATCCCCTCTCCACTTGCTATGTGGCCACTGGGCAGACCCTTGCTCTCTCGCTGTCTTAAGGTTCTAGGGGCAGGGAGCAGGAGGAGCAGGGCCCCATCGGGCTGCCTGCTGTGTTGAAATGGGGGCTGAGACTCCCCTGCTGGAAGGCCAGGCACTTTTCTCCCCAAGGGGAGAATTTTATCCAATTCCTTTTGGGGCCTTCCAATTCCTTTGTCACCTTTGATGACAGGCTCAGTCAAGACTAAAGCCCTAGCCCATTCCACAACCAGAGCACATCCTACCCGGGAAGCAATATAACCCAAGATGACAATGCAAAACCCAACCCCGAAGACCACCTGCCCTGTACCCGCGACCTCCAATGCACCACCAAGACATGACACATGGCTAGAGGATCCCACCTCAGTGGTCAAAGGCACATGCACTGACAGGCAACCCCAGGATCCAGTCACACACTCACCTCTGGGCTAAAAATGAGACGCAGCCAGAACATAGACCCAGGGGCACATCCACCCACACAGCCCCAAATGTATCAAGACGTCCCTAGAATGCCACAGAGCACACCACAGACCCCAGGAAATGGGCAAAGCCTCTTCACCCCACTGAGGCAGAGGCACACTCAACTCGGCGGGTCAGCAGACACCCCCCTCACACACAAGCCTAAAATGTCCACCTGCCTGCCAGTTCAGAGACAGAGGTGGCCTCCGCCATGTGCGTACAAGCAGGGACCCAAGCTCACACAAAGACAGGAGATGCGTGCAGACACTTGCCTAGTGTGACCACTTTCTCCAGAAACACTGAAGTGTGACAAAGGGACACACTCCAAATGAGACCTCAAACAACCAGACAGCCTCAGTCTCCCTCTCTCACAGGTACACACTGCCATCTGGGGGGCTGTGACTTGGGCTCAAATGCAGGTCCGAGCCCGCCTCGCTGTCCACATCCTCAGATCTGAGCATCCACTTCTGGGCAAGCCATCCTGTCTCCCTGGGCTCTGGATGGCTAAGCCATGCCCTCTGCCCATCTATCCTAGTCCCTCTACTCCAGCCCCCAGCCTGCTGTCTGCCACACAGGTAGGTGTAGGCTGAGATGTGCGTGGCAGAGACGCCAGGACCTCGTCCCTCTCCCGTCCCATGCTTCCCCTGCCCTCCAGAAGACCCCCACGTCCCATAGGCAGATGGCAGGGAAAGCTGGCTGCGAAGTTTATAGCCAAGTTTTTCATAAGGGGTTTTATTCAGGGGACTCCGATGGAAACCAGGGGAGACAGACTCACAGATAGAGGAGGGGGAGACAGAAGGGGGTGTGGCCCCGCGGAGGCCTGAGGGCTGAGGGGTGGGGTGGGAGAAGTCCGGGCCAGTTACCAGGGGTCCAGAGAGCCGGCAGGGCAGGCGGGGCGAAGAGAAGGTCGGAGACGCAGCTACAGTCCATGGCGGAGCTGACCCTGCAGAGTCTGGGACAGACACGGGACAGGATGGAGGACAGTGGGAGAGACAGACAGGGGTCAGCAGCGGGGTGCTGCCAGGGCTCTCCCTCTCCCAGGTCCCCAGCATCTGCCAGGTGCCCGCCTCCTCTGCCCCCCAGTTCCTCCATTCCTGCTCCCTCCCACAGGTCCCTCTGTCCCTAGTCCCCCTCCGGCCTGGACCACAGACCTTCCCTGCCAGCCTCTCCTTCCTCAGCCTCCCGCTCACTCCTTGCCTAGCTCTCGCCAGCCGCTCAGCCTCCTCCCTCCGCGCCTCTCACTCACTCTGTCTTGGCTCTCGCCGCCCGCCAGCCCGCCCGCCCTCAGCCCGCCTGTGCAGTCTCTGCTGCCGTCCCTGTCACCGTCTCTCGCCTGACCTCTGGGGCTGTTCCCTGCGTTTGGGGGGCTCCTCTCCCTCTGTGTCTCTCCAGCTACCCCAGATATATCTTGCTCCAAAACTTGCCCTGCCTGGCTGATCTGGGCCAGCTGTCCCCCACTCTGTCACCCCAGAGCCGGCAGAGCTGGGCACCTGCTGGCCCAGCCCCTGCCCTCCCTGCACAGGGTGCCCCGGGGAGTCCCAAGACCCCCTTGCTTCAAACCTGCTGCTCATCCAAGATTCTTGCCACTTGGATCTGCCTCCCCTCAGCCCCCCAAAGACACCCCTTCCCGCTGAGTCTCCCCATCAGGCCCCTCCTCCTCGGCCCCATCCCCTCAGACACCCCCTTCAGATGCCTCATGCCCTAAGATGCTCCATCCCCTCCTCTTTCCCTCACACCTTCCCCTTCAGCCAGTGCCCCTCGCGACCCACCCCACATCCACAACCATCTGCTCCCCACACACCCTGCACACACCACCCCCTCAGGCAGGACACATCCTGCACTTTCAGGAGCCCCACCCACCCTCAGACCCACCTCTGGTCTTCCTTTCCCTCCTTAGACACCCTCTCTGATACCGCACCCCTGGATACCCGACAGGCCACCCCTCACAGGTACCCACGGCTCCCAGGCAGCCCGTGCCCTCAGGAGCCCCTCAGACCCCAGACACTTCCCCCACGAGCGGCCCCTCACCCCTTGGACACTGAGCAAGATGTTTCCGATAACCCATGTCCCCAGAGGCCCCAATCCTGACCCCTGAGCTCCACCACCCCCTCACCTGCCTCCTGGGTCTCCCCGGCCTGAGGCCCCTCTGCACCCCGTCCTGCAGCCCCTCTCCTGACTTCCTCTGCCTCCCACAGCTCATCCCGGTCTCCTCCCGCGGCCTCCCTCCCCACACCCCTCCTCCATCTCCCCTCCACCTGGAGTCCTCCCTGTCGCCCTGGCCACCTCCCTTGGTCCCCACCACTCTCCCCTGTCCCTCTCTTCTTGGTTCCTTGCTGCCCCGCTCGTCCTCTCTTTCCCCGTCTCTCCCTGCGCCCTCTTCTCGTCCCCGTCCCCTCTATCTCCCTGGTCCGCGTCCATCTCTGTCTCTGAGAGACCTCACACCTCCCTCCCTCCCTCCCTCCCTCCGCCATCCGACCCTCGCCCTCTCCCCTCAGCCCCCACCGCCCGCTCCCGTCTCTCTGGACGCCCCTCTCCCGCACCCTCCCTGCCCACCTCGCCCCACTCGCTCCCGCCTCTCTGGGCCCCCCTCCTCCCCCGCCCCACCCCCCATTGGCCCCTCTCATTTCCGTGTTGGTTTTGATTTCTCTTCCCGACGCTTTCAACTCCCCGCCGCCTCCTCCGGACACGTTATAACGAGGAGCCGTGGGATCGGCGCTCCGGGCCCTGCTCCCACGCTCCCCCGCCCGCCCGCCGTCTCTCCTCGTCTCTGCCTTCCCCAGGTCTCTGCTGCCACGTCCCCCTGTCTCTGGGCCCGCCCCCGGCCCCATGTCAGGCCCCTGGGGACCTCGACCCCTGACCCCTCGGCTGGTCCCCTTCCCTGCCCGCCTGCCCAGCCTGCTGTTTCTGCCCAGTCTGGTATCTCTGGGTCTCCACATCTCTGTCTGTCTGTCTGTCCTCGAGTCTCTGGGTCTCCACACCTCTCTGCCTCTCTGCCTCTCTGTCTCCCTGTCTCCGTCTCCACTTCTTCCAAAGTCCAGGTCTCCACGTCTCTGTCTCTGCCCCCTAGTCTCTGTCTCCACACTCCATCTCCATGTCTCTGTCTCCACGTCTCCATCTCTACGTCTCTGTTTCGTCCCGGTGTCCCTCTCTTGGGGCCCCTTTGATCTCGCCCTGCCCCTGGCGCCCCCCTGGCCCCATTGATCGCTGATCGACCCATGGAGGGAGCAGGGCCTGCGGCCCGGGGCTGTAGAGCAGGCAGGGGCCGGGTAGGGCAGCTGGACAGATGGACAGGCGGCCCCAGCCCTGGTGGCTGTAGAGGGGGAGCAGCCAGCAGCCCCAACCCCGCCCCTCCCCGCCGGCCGGCATGGTGCGGATGGGGACTCCGGGCGAGCTTTAATTTTTAATTTTATTTTGCTTCCTCCACCCCCCCTCGCCCCCATCTCTACTGCCCGCAGCCATGGCACCGAGTGTGTGCGTGTGTGAGGCAGCCGTGTGCAGCGGGGCTGGGCGGGCAGAGGCTGCTCCCTCCTCTCCTGCCAAGCACAACTGCACAGCCCACACCTACCCAGGCACACACGCCACCTCACACAGGACACAACACACACACACACACACACACCAACAGAGTGGCACACTCCACACAGACACACGTCCCCCCCACTGTCACACAACACAATCACAGAGATTCCCACATCAACAAAGTCAGGCACATTGTCACACCCCAACAACTCACATCATTTAGGTGCACGTCACACACACCAACACAGTCATACACAATCACACACACATCAGCATAGTCACATTTACACAGAAACAGACACAGTTTTACACAGATACATACATGACACACATCAGTTCAATCCCACCCAGAAATAAAGGCACACAATCACAAATCCCAGATGGACACACTAACAAACATGTAATCACACATCTAGGCTCACACTCACATACAGAAACTCACAATCACACAATTACACTGAGATAAGGTCACACAGAATCAGAGACACAGGAGACACATAGCAGCACAGCCAAGCCAGTGACACAAAAGCACAGTCACAGGCCAGCACCAGAGACCCTGGCCACACATGCACACACTTGGTCAATCATGGAGACACACACACACCACAGTAGACAGCCACAGCCAGACAGCAACCTTGGTGGCCTCAGTTCATTCACAGACACAGTCACACAGATACAGTCACAACCACACACACACACACACACACACACACACACACAGATCACAGTTCATGACCAGCACAGCAGGGAGCCTGTGCTGCAGTCCCAATCACACTCAGCCCACAGGACAGGCTGGCTTGGGGAGGTGTGCTCAGAGGTAACCTACCCCAGGCTCCCTGCCTCCCCTGCTGCCACCTGTCCATCTGTCTGTCCATTCATCATCTGTGGACTTTTCAAGCATATTTTTGCACACCCTGCACGCTCATGTGTGTTTGTGTAAAATGTGCACTGTCTCAGACTTGCTTCTGTCTCTTGCAGCACCTCTCCGGGTGTCGGTGTCTGTCTGTCTGTCTCTCACTGAGGGTCTTTGTCTCTCTGATGCCTCTGTCTCTAAATGTCTCCATCTTCGAGAGAGTCTCTGCTTCTCTCATGTCTCTGGGCGCCTGTCTGTCCCTCTGTCTCCAGGCAGCTCTGTCCGCCTCTCCTCCTGCCTCCTCGCCCCCATCACCCCAGCCCCCTGGGCTGGGGTTTAACCAGTTGTTTTGATTTCTCTAAGCTGCGCTGGCCGCCTCGGGAGCTGCCTCGGGCCTCGCACCCCCCCCAGCCCCTTCATCCCTCACCCAGGCCCCCCCATCCCCACCTCCCCTTAACACAATCTGCACAAGTGGAATGAAAATTGATTTTTTTTTTAAATTTCATATCTTCTCCAGGGCTCTGTCTAAAGAGGAGAGGGACGCGGCCCAAGACCCTTCTCCCACCACTGCCCCTGCCTGCACACACACACACACCAGTGCACACACACACACCAGCCCCCCCCCCCCCCCCCCCCGGACTGCACCCCCGGCCACCCATCCAGACAATCTGGGGACACACCCTCCCATGCCACGCACCCATGTAGGCCACATCTGGGCACACAGCAGAGACTCACAGGACGCCCCACAGCACCCACACGCCATGCAACCCCCTGGCTGTGGGGCCAGGCCCCGGCCCGCTGTCTGCACAAGTACAAGCCCACGCACGCTGCCCACCAAGCACATGGCCCCACTCCCTGCTGTCACACACCAAGTGCCTGTACCCACACACACTGTCCCTTCAGGTTATGGCCTTGTCCATGTGCACACAGCCAGGCTCAGGGACCATCCCACCACAGGCACCAGGAGACCCCTTGGCTATCCTGGCGAGGAAGGGGTCAGGACAGGGGCTTTCCTGCCAGTATCTGCCACCCTCACCCCAGATGTCACCCCCGTCCCCACCCCGCCAACATCAACCAAATGCTCTGGCCTTGCCCTGGTGGGTGTGATTCTGTGGCTGGGGTACACACACCACACACACACACCTACACCACATCCCACACACACACATACAACACCACACACTACATTGCATGTCACATACACACCACGTTCATACTGCACAACACAGTCACCAAATCACACGCATACCACACAACACACATGTCACAAACACCACATATACCACATGCCACACACACCACACTCATACCACAGACACCATGCCACACCGACGCCATGCCACACACACACACACCACACACATCTCACACAAGCACATACCACACACATACAACACACACCACATGCACTTACACACACCTTGCTACTTCTCTCAGTGCTGCACATGTAATCCTCACGTGGACACACAAAACACAGGAAGCACAGTCCCCACCACACACAGCCCACACAACACACAAAGAACCAAATACACGTCAGTGCTCACATGTGATCAGAGAAACAGCCCACACGTGGAACTGGACATTCATGCAAGTTGCACACACGTGTGCCACTGACAGCCTCACGTGAATCACAGGTACACACTGCCGTCGCCGTTCCTCAGGGTGGTCAGGGTGGTCGTGCACACTCACACCAGGAGCCAAGACTCCACCAGCCTGCTCCATTCAGCTCCCCCAAGTGACCACATGTGCATGTACACACACACACACACACACACACCTGAACCCAGACTCAGACACAGGCTGAGAGGCACAGCAAGCCCTTAGCACAAGCGCCCTGCCACACAAGCTCCCACAGCCAGTGTCTGAGGTTTGGGCTCTGGCCACCTCCCATGGCTCCTTCTGGCTGTGTGTCCCCAGCTGGGCTCCTGGGTGGGGCCCCTCGGCTTGTGCTTACATGGTCCTTCTCCTGGACTTCTCGCCTCCTTGCCCTGGGACAGGGGAGCTGTCACTCAGTCACTCAGCACACCCTGCATGGCCACACGACTGGACACACCAGACACAGCACAACTCTGGACTTCTTGACAGTTGCACTAGACACGCACACCTGAGCGCCACTCACGTCCCACAAACACACTCATGGCCTCACACACCCATACGTAGCCCCTTGTGTCCGGGGACATGCACGTCATGTTTACACGCACTGCGACACAAGTCACACAGAGGCACATGTGGGAACACCTGCCAAGGCTGCACTGAGCAGGACAGACAGAGGGTCGGGAGCAGGGCTTTCTGTTCAGGAGGAAGTGGGCCTGACCAGGTCTGGGGTGGCTGGGAGGCAGAGGCCAGGGACACAGAGACTCGGTGGATGTGGAGGGCAGGGATGGACACCCACCCCCTCCCTCCTCTGTCCCCCTCTCACTGGGTGTCTCTGTCTGGGACCATGTTTGTCTCT